ACATAGATTGTAGAACTGCTTTAATGAATACTTTTTTTCCTCTGGTTAATAGCCATATGTGACTCCAATGTTTTATTTTCTTATTCATTTTCTCTAAAATCTCCATGAAAGCCTTTTTTTTTTCTTCTAATAAACATAGGCAGCCCAGATATTTCTTCGAATTAGAAGTGGACTGGATCCCAAACAACCTCTTTGTCATTTTGATTGCATCTTCACTTGTATTTGAGCTAAAAAACAATCCTGATTTGGCAAAATTGATTTGCTACCCAGAACCTTTCTCATACACCTTTAGCATGTCCCTTACCGTATTGCATTCCCTTTGCTTTGCCTTAAAGAAAAGCAAGCTTTCATTTGCAAAAAATAAGGTTTTTGGGCCTCAGGCGCTAAACTTAGATTTCTTGTAACAGGCCTTCCCTTTAGTGACTGGATAAAAGTGTCGACAATTCTTCTGTATATATCAGGAACAAATAAGATGAAAGCGGATTCCCTTGACGGAACTCCTCTCCTTTTTTGTTTCATAGTATGCGGTAACTTATAGGCTAAAGTTTACTTTCTAATAAGGACATTATTAGATATAAGCTTACTTGGGACAAAGGTGCTTTGGTTTTTACTAATGCAAGTTGGTAACACCAGCTTTAATCTATTAGCTAAAGTTTTAGCAATAGTTTTATTGATGTGGTTTCTGACAAAAAATCCACATCAGGATCTTCTTTCTTCAAAATATTCTGAAGATTACAAATTGTGCATGGGTTCCCATGTCTATGGCAGTTCCAAGCTAGACACTTCATTGCATTTAACGGGACTAAAAGCCAATCACCATCGTTTCATCATAATAGTCCTTTCTTACCTCCCCTCATCATATTTTTTCTTTTTGTATCACATCAACGTCCATATCCTTTGGTACACAGTCTCCATGCTTCCTTTTCCCATCTCAATTTGTCCACTTGTTTATGTATCCCTTACTTGTCTGACCAACCTCTTTCATGTCGGTTTGGAGACTACTCTTTGTTCCTCTTTTTAGTCCTTATTGTTGTGTACCTTCCCCGTTGTTTCATGCATGCTTTGTGCATCCCTGTGCTTACAATATTACTTTCCTTGTCTGGTTGGAGTTGCTCTATTAATGCAACCTTATCATCAGTCTAGTTATCCACATTTGGGCCATTAATCCCGTGTGCAATGGTCTTGTTATTATCACCTTTTTTTTTGTAGGCTCATATTCATTGGCTTGGTTATATTTTTAAACTTTTGGTTAATTTCTTTAGACTTGGATCTATACCTTTTGGAACTCCAGCTGTGTGATTTCATATCCTATAAATTCCTATCATTATCCCCTAAAATAGCTCCCTCATTATTAAGTGAATCCCGTGATTCAAGCTCGTTCAAATTCCCTTGATCGGATGCCAAATCCAAATTTCGTGCAACTCCATCGCCGGCCATCATCGTAGGAGATCAGTTACCGTGGCTCTTCCTTTTGTTGTTCCCCTGAAACCTGTTAATAGCCTACCCTATCTTCCAAGCTGAAGGTCTGCTCTTTAACGGTGAAGTACGGAGCCGTGCACCGTATTGCCTTGTTGAAGTATCATGATCCCCTTCCCTTTTTTTTTTCCTTACATTTATCCATAACCCAACCTCTCACAAGCGTAACAGAAGCTTAGTAGCCGTTCATAGGATAGCCTATCCCATATTTCTTTTCCAACCTCCCCATAGTGAGCAATACCGCTCTATATAGAGGTTTTGTAATATCAACTTCTATTCTGATATGTAGAAACCGAGCCCATCCATTTGCTCCAGGGTTGCATCAACCGACTTATGACCAGTTATCTTCCTTCCTATCATTATCGCATTCATCTCATTCATCATCCCTAAAGGCAAGCCATACACCTTTATCCAGAATAGAGCAGTTGAAAATACATAATCCTCCAGCCACAACTTCTCATCAAATTTATTAAACTTGATCAATTGTTTGTCAAAGCTCCATAGCCATCTATCAATCACTTTTTGCATATCAAAACCTGAAAATTTAAATAGAAATAAATTATCATCCAGATCCACAATTTCCACCTATTTGGCCAACTTTTCCATTTTAGCCAATTGTAAATGCTTCCATAAGCCTCCCAATTCTTCATCCATCCTTACAAAACTTACTACCGCAACTTCCATCCTCGAAACTCCAAGACCACTTAACTAAATAAATCTTGAGATAAATTCACTTGCATACCACATATTAACTTCTTAGAGAAGACCAACTCTTAGAAAACTCTATTATTTATTAGTGTGGATTTGGTATAAAATTTTAATCTATTTATGGAATTTTAAATTATAAGCGATTAATTATACTCTATTGACCAAAAAATGTAAAACACTTTAGTAGTCGGATACTATTACAGATGACATGACATAATCTCGATTGTAGATATCCTTTTAAAGTGACGTATGATTACATCCTAAACAGGTCCTTTCACTTCTAAGTGCAATGTAAATGGTTGGTAGCTGAATCCGTACCTTAAACGTGCACCGTTCAGGATAAAGTTACTTGCAACCTTAAGCTATTCCTTTCACTCGTTTGGTTACCCAGAAAATTGAAAGAAAAATGGCGCAAACCTTGGCGATGCCCGTCGCATCTTCTCTCTCCTTTATATGCCACAAAACAAGCTCTCTTTCTCTCTCTAATGCTGTTTCCCTTCCAGTTTCAAACCATCCAAAGGTAAATACCTTCTGGCTTCTGATTTCCAATTTCAATTCTGGATTTTTCACTCTTTTGTTTTCCCTTTATTTTTTTGCCAATTTTATTTCATTTAATTGCTTCACCCTCTGTTTAGGTTTCTTTAAAAAAAGAAACAAAGAAAGTAGCAAATATTAGCTAAAATTTCATTATGTCTGTGCAGTTTTGTTCATATTATTGCCCTGAAAATGACAAACGGAAATTAATTTGGTTTGCTTGATTGTTGTTTTAGGGTTTAGGCAAAGCAAGGTTCTATATATTTGAAAATTGAAGATTGAGAACTTTGGTATGCTTAGTTGGTGTTTCAAACTGAAAATTTTTAATCATATTCAAAATGAAGAATTCGAAAGTTTGTGCTTTGTCCTAGTTTAACTGTAATTTAATAAGTTTGGAAGCGAAATTCTAACGTATTTTTCTTGTTTTTTTGGGGTTTTCATTTTTTTGTTATCTCTTCTGTTTTGAAATCAATTAGTATCGTAGTCTAAGCATCGAATGCGTTCGTGTTGGAGGAGTGGAAATTCCAAACAACGAGAGTGGGGTTCTCTCTTCGGTATATCCATGGGATCGGCCGTTCTAGGGCTCGCAAAATTCTATGCGATCTCCAAATGGAGAACAAAATCACTAAAGATTTGTCCGAGGAAGAACTCATTACGATTCGTGATGAAATCTCTAAGTATATGATTAAAGGCGACTTGGTAATTGCCTTGCTCCTTCTTGCCCTGTTTCAACACATCTACCTGTGAACATTTATATGTCTAAGCCATTTGAGTTTCTGTTTTTATCTTTTTCTCTGGTATTGTAAAGGCGGTTCAATGCTCTTAACATAAGGCGATTGAAGGAGATTCAGTGCTACAGAGGGGTTAGCCATATTCGGGGCTTGCCTTGTAGAGGACAGCACACCAAAAACAACTGTCGAATTTTGAAGGGTAAGAGGGTTACTATTGCTGGTAAGAAGAAAGCCCCTCGTTAATTTAATTGATTCTGTTTTTTATGAAGTGATTGCATGATTGTAATTATGGCTTCCCAATGAATGCTTTGTAGTACAATTTGATTTGATCATTTCTGTGTTGATATCAAAATGCAATTTGCATTCTCTCTATAGTCCGGATGCAACCTTTGATTTTTACATTATCTTCGCTTTTGTTGGAGCATCAACCTGGAAACTTAAAATAGGATGATAACTTAAAATTTAATATGAAAATAATAAAAAAAATAAAAATGATATAATTTAAAATTTTATAAAAAATCATATATGAGTTAACAAAAAATGTATTTTGTATTTTGCTATGTTTAAATTAATTGTGACATAATATTTATGTAAAACATGATATAAATACATGAATTATTAATATTTTACATATCACAAATATATGAATTGTAAGATTGTGCATTGGAATGAGTCACTTGAACCGCCTGTAAGCTAGTGGATTTGAATGAGTCACTTGAACTGCCTAAATAGCTGCTTCGGATACTATAATTAGGCAGTTCTTTAGAATCCACAAGGCCTTGTGTTTTCCTAGTGGGTTTCACCCATTCAGAAACTGGATCGAAAAAAATGGGATTCTAGTTGTAAGATATCTAATGAAAACGTAGGTGAAAAATATCAAATATTGGAGTTTCTTTTGGTATACTATACGGATGATTTGATCTGCAAAGATCATGATTGGGAATTGTTTGATTGTTTTTATCCGAGTAAGAGGTGAAATATAATCGACTTGAAATTGGGATAGCTATTTGAAATCTTAGTGAAAAACCAAATTTTTTTATCTCATGTTGCTTTTTCGTGAAAAAATACCAATTGAAGTAAAGGGATTCTTTAAATAATAAAGAGTTGGATCGACTATTCAATCAAATAATATTGATCATGTTACTTATCTCTTCTCTAGAGGTAAATGAGCTATTTTTTCACAAAATTGTACCCAATTTCATGTGACAATTTCGAAAAAAAGCTTTTTGTTAGTTGGAGGAAGAATCCGTAGAAATCAGATTTTTTTAGAAATATATCGAGAGAACTAAATTTGATTAAACAATATATGATTGGTAAACAAGGACTGATTTTTTAATAAAGTACGAAATATATTATTAAATATTCAATAAGATTCCGAGAGTTTCATTCAGGTATCGTGTTTGCTCGAGATTCCACTCCATTGATTATAGTTATTTTTTGGGGGCCATCAAAACAAGCCCGAAAAGTACAAGGCCTAAAACAAATATATATATATATATATATATATATATATTTATTATGTATGACTGATGATATCAGGGTTGCCCATATCATGATCAGGAAATAAGAGTTCTCACCGCTCAGCAGACAGCGTAGGCCGCTCAAAATATTTATTAGAATTGATGCAATAATTCAATGGACAAATTTTCAATCATCCCAAAAGATCCTTCCTATTCCCCTGGTAGAATCAAACGTGTGGAAGGTCTTCGGATCGGTCGTCTTGACAACCAGCCATCTGGCGGACAAGGCCACGAGGCCAAGTGCTCTTTTAAGAAATACTCTGAATTGTGGAACTGGAACCTGCAAATCAATGAATCATGCCTTGAGCATGGCTTAATACTATATGGATTCCACTAACCTTAAGAAAAGTTAGAAATAAAAAACAAAGCCAAGAAATATATTTGAGAGGTGACGCTACTTTCAGGGAGAAAATGGATGGGGAAGGGAGATCACGGATGGTGACACTGGCTGGAGCTCAAGTGTATCTTTGGATTACATTCGCGAAGACTGGTTCTTTATTTCTTTGGATTTATGCCTTAGTTTCAAGTTCAAGACGCAATTATGCTCCTTTCATCCTTCTTATAACAATAAAACGAATCTACAAGAAAACATTGCTTCACACATTTAACTGTCTTTTTAATTTTACCTCCTGTCCTAAATATATAAAAATTCAATAATTTCACTTTGCCTCACCATGCTTATCACCTTCATCTTAGCATGATTTGAATATGTCTTTTTAAGGTCATTCCAATATCTATTTGCAGAATGTTAAAATGTAATTACTGAGATATAAAACAATGAGGTAACGCCACAAAGGAAAATGTTTCCAAAAGACTGACTTAAATTCTATATGATTGATAATTTGACTAGCCAACTGGAATCAAGTGTATACATTGCCTTTCTAGCTGCGTTGCCTATAATAACAGCTTGGCAGGTAGAATAGCTGTAATCTTGATTCTTGTTCACAGTCAAAAATTGTATAAAAACAGTAGACAAAGCTGACAATAATTTTCAGAAGAAACATGGATATAACTACTCGAGGCATCAACTATGGCAAGCAGAGAAGCTTCTGAGTAAAACAATAAGAGAACGAAACAAAAACATGAAGAAACGATGGGGAGGGAGATCTGAACACCGAACATCACAACAGGATATCGCTACTATGTTAGCCTTTTATTGTTTTCGAAAAGGAAAAAAGAAGAATAATCCCTTTACCGCCAAAATGCAATTCAGGAACTCATCGCCTTTTCCTATTTATTCCGGACCTAGCATTCTCCTCTGCAAATGAAAGAAAGCAAAAGCCTTTCAATACATGCAGTTGTTTACTTCTTGGAGCAAGAAAATGACATTGGCAGATGCTTTAAGCTAGAAACATCAAACAACTCCATAAACCTCTGATCCGCAACTCTAGCTTTTGCAGCTGCAAACCTTTGATACTCATCAAAGACTGAAGACAAACACCATCTTTGCAATTTTCTTAGGCATCCAACCAGACAGCCAGTTCGGTGCTGGAAATACAAGAACAAAGCAACATTATTAAACTCAGAAGGTATTGAGTTGTCATAGGTATGAAATAAAAAAGAATCAACATGCACATACCTTCCCTCGTTTACAGTGAATTAGAACTGGGTGATTCCTTACGTCTGCATCGCATAGAGACAAAATTAAATTACTGAAAGTAATCAACCACGTTTAAATTAACCAGAGATGAAGTGTAATAGTGTTAAAAGCTTGTAGTACCAAGGACCACTTTTAGAGCTTCACGAATTGTATCCTCTGGTATATTTACAAATGGTTCCTGGATGAATTGTGTATATTAGTTTTACATAAGATCTCATTTCAAAGTAGCAATAAACTTCTTTCGATGGATAATACATATTCTATGCAAGAACTGAGGCTTTTCAATACATTTAACTGAAGAAGGTGAATAGATAATAAATGGCATCCCTATTGTCAAGACCTATCTACAATACTAACAATACTGCATTCATTTACAGATATATATGGGTGCTACTAGTCACTTCAAAAGCTCAAAGAAAAGGAGTTCATACATACATACGTGCATATATATATATATATAATATTATATAACCTACATGCCATATGACATGAATATTGGACATCTCAATCTCTTTAAATCATCACATTTATAATAGACCATATTTATTATGCAGCACTTATTGAACCATCTATGAGCAAGCCAGCTTCATTGCAGTTTCTGCAATGTCTAGTATACATGTGATGATACTAACATCTCTTTGCTAACTCAAAGTTACGTCAAGCTCACGCAGCATCAGATCATTTGACCATCTTTCTAGAGTAATTATCTTTATTTCAGAGGATCAAAATCAGTAAAATTTTACTTTCTTCTCGTGCACCATGGAGATTTATTGACATGATTCTGAAATTATACCCATTCAACAATGAGTCGAGTTATGCTAGACTTATGGTAGAATTAGGTTCTGTTCTATCAATATTTATCTCTATGATTGTGACAAGTGATTCTCTCATAAGAGTCCAAATAGTAAAACCAGCATAGAAATTTATGATCATATATGCTTCATTGACATATAAGGGATGTTCTTCACATGGAGAAATTGGAGAACATAGAACCTAGCTGATTTGGCAAGAAGGTGCAAACTGATGGAGTACTTTTAAGGAAGGACTTTTGTGGGCTTATTTAAGTTTGAGAAGCTCTTATAAATACATTTATCTTAGACTTGAGATTTATGATTCAGACAACTGAAATTTCAAATCTTTTCTCGAGATTTTTTTAGAAATTAGTGTTGCTGCATCTGTATTCTTCCTAAGAAAGCCACAGCAACTTCCCTGGGACTTAACTAATTTAAGTCAGGAATCCAATTCTCCAATTTCTGTAATAACACCCCAATCCAAAAATGATGCAAGAGAAAACAAGCTAAAGAAAGAATGGAAAAAAAAAATGCTACCATGCAAAGGGAGTAGGTTATAGCCGGCAAAATGAGAGATGACCAGGGAAGAACTATAAAAATATCTAGAAGGCACTTCCTGCCTTTTCATGAAGAAATGACATACAATGCAACTCCTAATGATATAAATTGATGTAAGGCAAAGTCTTCCATGTATATAGCTTACATACAGAGAGCACATGGAAAAGAAAACAAATGATATTTAGAAATTGAAAGGACTGAGAGAAAAAACTACATAGATTGAAAAGTGAATAAAAAAATTAAGCAGCTATACAAATTTTACCAAGAACCAACTGGTGATAAAGATGAGAATAAATACATGGGCAACCATATATGTCCCTAAACTATAAAGTAAAATGTAAAGCGGATTTAGGCTTAACAAGTTCAGAAAATCAAAATAAAAAATACATAGATCTTTGGCCACAAAATCTTGCAATAACCAAAGGTTAAAAAAACATAATAAATCAGATACCAATAAATTAAGACAGTGAATCAAACAACAAGGATAAAGAAACATGCTAAAACAAAAATGATTAAAGAGGGTCATAGCACAGAGCCTCATTGTGTTGTCATTTTGCCCATCAAGGTGGTCCTTGTTGCCCTAAAAACGAAACCTATTCAAATTCTTAAATCTAGAGCAGGATTTAAAAGTTTATTGCAAATTAAGAGCTTTCGATGTTAATTATAAAAGGCAATAGTCTATCACAGGCAAAGCAAAAGAATAATTTTGAGAAATTATCTTACACAGGTCCAAGTACAAGAAGGGGCAAGAGGACTAGAAGGAGTATATCATTACTTGCAAAGGATTTACTTACAACTTGGTAAAAGAAATAAAAGAATTTTACACAATGCTACAACTACTGCTGCATGCTCAAACAAATCACCAACACCAAAAAGAATGATGAAGATGACAAGGCAAAAATAAAATAGAAAATATGAGTGAATCCACTAAGGGATAGTTATTAGTTTATTTCTTCTCTCTAATTTTTGTTTGGTTTCTTACTCAAAATATTGCCCGTACATTCCAACCTCACAAAATAATTGACATCACAATTACAAATTCATAGTTGCATTTCTCTGAAATTGAAATTCACATAAACTGAACAAATAAAATGAGGAATTATTGGTTCTTAGAGGTTCACTTTATTCATAGATTGAGGTTGAAGTTTGAAATGATTCAAATCGTAGCATAAGTATGGTTCACTTGGGCAAATTTCACCAAAAACTTTAATCTTGTGACAAATATATATAAGCATGTTCATTATCAAATAGATAAGTTTTTACTGTAATCAATTCCAATCTTAAAATATACACAGAATAGATGCTGCCGGCAACAAAAAGGCTCTCACTTTCAAACAAATGTTTTGACCCCAAACAAGTTTAACAGCATATGATGAAGGAACATCTTTGGAGTATTTGTCTGCAAGACCTCAAACAATCATATGCAGAGTCCTCGTAAAGACGTCTAACACATGAAATTAACAATATCCATGGACCACAATGAATATGCTTACATATCATGCTAAGCTTAGCTAGTAGTCATAAGATTTTAAGAATTGCAACAATAATGCCACCATGAACAGAGTCTACTTTGTTAACACTATCCAAAAGTGAGTGCAATGTAGTCATATAATACTGCCAATTCAGAAGGAACACAAAATTTCCATGAGTCAGAAGAAATTACTTGCTCAGATAGTTTTTATAATAGTGACTGATTCGACTACAGTTTACAAGATGACAAACAAATTGTGCTCGCCACACCAGCTTGATGTCATCATGTGTACTATTGCCCCAACCTCAGTTCTAGACAACTGAATTTAAAAGAATCCAAAATTTCTTGAATTGAGTAAGATTTGAAGATTTTATGAAACGGTAATATGGAAATACACAAATTCATCTTTGAGACTATAATCCTCAATTAGAAATTTTAGCATTTAAAGCATCAAATATATATTTCCACAGAATCTAAGATTATTGGAAGGAAAAAAGAAAAGAATGCATTATGCTAATTGTTGCAACTAATTTCTTTTAGGAATTAAAAATTAAAAAGAGCAAGAATTCACAAAAAACAATTGAAATGTCAGCCAGCTGCTTGATTCCATTTCTCACGATTAACTCAAATACCAAAATGTAACTTGTAGTTTTGTGGAATGCATATTAACATAAAACGAACCATTACGTGTAACAAATCAAATAAGACTAATAATACAAATCAGAACCCTAAGCTTTCATAAGCATACAATAATGAACCAAATGCAATAATTGGACAAGCAAATTTTTGGACTAAAAGCATTGTTTAGAATTGAGGAAAAAAAACCCCTCAAAAATTAACTAGACTCATTCTAGAAGTTCGGCGAATTAAATGAGAATAATTGTAAGAACCTAAACCTGATAGCATAGTGGATGGTTAAAGTAACGCCTAACAAAATTAAGATACAACCAATCCCCTTATCGTTCATTAGGGTTTATGACACTCAAGCATAGCACCATAATTCCCTTATCCTGCTAATGCTACATTGTAGGTCTTTAAAATATAATTATCACTTAAATGAATAAATTTGGCAATTATTTGGTTAAGAATCAGGATCATCATCAAATTCTAGGCTCAGAAACATAACAAACTAGGGCAATCACATTTGATTTCAATTGCAAAACATTTTTTTTTTCACATAAGAGATCGCTGCCTGGGATAAGGAAAAGATTCCAGGCGTTGGCATTTCAATTGCAAAACATATTTGAAGAACCTGATATGGTCAATAAAAATAAGCAACTTTGAAAGATTAAAAAAAAAAAAAAAGTTACCTTGTTACCTTCAATTCCAAACTGAAAAAGCCTGATTCCATTGGACTTTAAAAACTCAGTGTTGGCTTCTGGGTACGGCTCAGGACACAAATATCTAACATAAAAAAAAATAAAAATAAAAGAAAAGCAAACAAACCAAAAAGAAAGATACCCTTTAACTCAAAATACAAAAATTTGCATGAAAAAATTAACTTTATTTAAAAAAAAAAAAAAAAAGAAACTTTGGTCTTACATGATGGAGCGGAGGTTAAGCGTTTGGAGAAAAGAGAAGTTGGCAGAATAAGGGAAACCCGACCTGAAGATGCCATTGTCAACCATAGCAAAGTTCAATGGTGGAATCAAGCTAAGGTCATCACCCGTGTTGTAAGCGACCACCACTGGAGACATAATCGGCGGCGACATATCGACGTGGTCAACGGTGGCAACCACTTCTATGGTTCTGCATATCTGTTGACTCCCTTGTTGTTGGTTTTGGTTGAGTTCGGTTTTAGTGTCTTCATTCATGAATGAAAAAAATGAAACAAATACTCAGAAGAAAGAGAAAAAGAGAAAGTTGGGATCAAAGAGAATGTGCTTTTATGGGGTACGGATGATTCTGAGTTGAGGTGCGGGGTGATGACAGTTGAAAGAGAAAGAAAAAACTGGTGCTGCGAGTGGGGGAAGTTGGTGGTTAAAAGTGGTTGAAGATTGGATTTGGAAATGAACATGGTTTATTTATAGATCGAAACAAGGCTTTTTTTTTTTTTTAAGTGAGAAATTTTAGTGAAAAATAGACAGAAGAGAGACGGACGGCATGGAAAAGAACACAGGTGGCTTTTTGGGTTGAAAACGCTCCATTGTTTTAATAATAAATTTACAATTTCTTCAAAAACAGAGATTAGATGATTTTTTTATCTACAGAAAAAAAAAATTTAAGAAAAATACTAACACACTTTCCCCGTTGTTAAATTTTGACAGTATAATTTAAGTATATTTTAATCCAAAAGGAGTTATAATCTAAGCTGTCTAATTTATTACGTTGTTTGTTCTAAGAAGTTTCGTTTGAAAAACAAAAACATGAATTCGGAAGTGATTGATAATTTTGGACTTAGTCAAAGAATATGATGAGAAAATAATATGGAAGTGATATTAATTAAATTTTTCATGAAAAAATATATAAATTTTTTAAATATTAAAAAATATATTAAATATGATATAATAATTTTTATGTTTTATATGTATTTATATAATATATATAAATATAAATACAACTTGTCATTATAAACGTATTTGAGATTTGACTTTTTGTAAGATTTTTTTATCAAATTCGTTTTATTTTTAATTTCCAATAATTGATTTTCTTGTTCCATTATGCAACATGCAAGCAAAAAAAATTACTACTGAAATCAAATGAAGCTACATATGGGCCAATACCCAATAATACTATGATAAAAGAAAAAAAATTATGATTGAAACATCAAAATCTGATAAAAAAAAAAAAAACAGTGAAAAGAGGAAATAAAGAAAAGAAATGGGCATAAAATATTTGAGAAATAGAAGGGGAATAATAAAGAGTACATTCCAAAGAATATGCTATTATTGCTAGGGAAAGAGAGAAAGAGGGCGATAGACGGATGGTGAATGGTGCTTGGGATGCGAAACCCGTGTGCCCACGTACTTTCTGATTCACTTTCTTTCGTTTTGCACGAATCCAACGCCACAGCAGTGCCTAAAAAGGCATTTTTCTCCTTTTTGCTTCTCAATCCCTCCATTTTCGTGCAGTCTAACAGGGTCGGTTTGGCCCGTTCATTGGTTTAAGATTAGAACTTAATTAGGAAAATGATTAATGATTTGAGCTACTAGAGACATTATTAAAGATAAAATGAAAAATGGGTGCAAAAAAAAAAAATCTTACACCTAAAACCAAACCAACGTCCACACACAAAAATATCATCCTTGGAGTGGCACAAAATTAACATGACATTTTTTTTGTCTTTTTAATCATAATTAGGGTTCGAGTTTAAAATCTAAATAAATTCAAATAAACATATAAAGTGTTCGTGAATATTCACAAAAAATTAAAAAAAATTTAAGAAAAATTTTTTCTCGAACAATCAAAGAACTGAAAATCAAGAAAATCTGAAGAAAATATTTCTCTTAACATATTTTTCATAAATAAAATAAATAAAATTAACATTTATTGTATATTATAAATAAACACTCCTAAAAAATTTATGACTTGAACATTACTCAAAACCTTTAATTTCAGAACTCATTTCAATATTATCGAGCTACCAATGCATTGATATTTAAAGTTATTATATAAAATAATATTTTCCTCCAATATTTTGAATATTTTTAATAAAATTATCAACTGTTACATTTAATACAAAATTATTATAAATAATATATTAATTTTTTAAATAATAAATATTATATTAATTAACTTTAAAAAGAGTACGCATTTGAAGATAATATTATATATATGTCAAAAATAAAATTTTTATGATTGAAATATTTGAAAGTATATAATTTTACTATAAAATCACTTAACTATCGGTAAAGTTAATATTTTACTTGAAAATAGAGTTGGCATCGGGTCAGGTTCGAGAACTCGACTCAACTTTATGTATTATTAAACCTGAATCTAATTTTATCCAATTTTTTTTTTATTTTTTCATACTCGAATTCGAATTCGATCATGTCCTAATATTATATAAATTGTACCCGATTCGATCTGAAATTAATAAAATATTATTTTTTAAATATAAATATTAAAAAATATCATTATATAAATAAAAAATTAAAAAATTAATTAAAAAATAATTTTTTATATAATATCTGATCTAATCGGATTTATTTAAAATCTAAATCAGACTCGACCTCGATTGTTTTATAATCTTATCCGATTTAATCCAAAACTCAAATTTCAAAAAAAAAACTTACCCGATAAAATTAAATCAAATCAAAATCCATTAAAAATGGGTTAAATTATCAACCCTACTCGCAAACTCCTACACATTCGTTTTTCTCTTGGTCAAAAAGCACTACCGCATCTTTTAGTATCATACAGAAAATGACTAAGAAAAGTAAACCCTTTTTTTATATGAAGAAATCAAAGCTTGAAATAAAGTATAGCTTAATAACATATCACTTCATAATTAAGCAGCTTCTGATCTCCTTTTTTTTTTTTTTTAATACTTATAATTTAGAGTATCTTTCAGTCTTTTTCTTGTTTGATTCATAAGAAAAATAGATTGCACCACTAACAAACAACTTTGTATACATACAAATGCCAATAAGATCATTGAGGATATACTTTGGTAGATGCTTTTATTTTTTGGTATTTGTTTTTAAATATTTATTTATTTATTTATTCATTTAAAGAAAAAACAAAAATATTATTAAAAAAAACAACTATTGAAACTCCAACAAGACAATGCACAAATTCATGAAACCTAATTAAATTTAATAATTTTAATTAAAATATCTAAAAAAAAGTAAAAATTATACTAATATAAATAAATCTCTCTTCATATATATTTTTTCTAAAATACCTAAGAGAAGTTGAAAAAGCTATCCTTTCTAAGTTTAGCATAATATAAATGTGAAAACTACTTTTGCGGATAACATTAAACATCCAATTTCATATAAGGATAAAGCTATCGACCCATTCTAAAAGATTTAAAAAAAAAAAGTCATGATCCAAGATTATTATTAATTTGATCTTTAAATTATAATTATAGTAGTATCATCATTTTCAAATAAAGCTATAGTATTATGCGTAGATGATGACAATGCAAAAGAATTTTGTCAGCCCCTTCAAAACAGCGAGAGAACCCCCCCCCCCCTAGTATTTATTTTTTAACAAAAAATTAATTAATTAATTAATATATAGCCTCTACTTTTGAAGGGCTATGAGTATCATGATTTCCACCATGAGAAGTTCATCAAACTTGCTCTAGACATCACGCAATCTCTGCCAAGTTCCTAGCCCTAGTGTGTATTGAGCTTTTCTTCTTCCCTTTTGTTTTTTTTAATTTTTTCCAGCCGTTTTCAAACATTTCTTTGATGGTCCCCTGCCTAATTAATTTCACTCGCAACTTAGTTGGTCCAAACTCATATGCCGGCAACACGAAAAGTCAGCTTTTGAATTTATGTTGCAACATTTTTTTCAGATAAAATATCTTAGCTTAAAGATAAGAGAAATTTGTAAATGTTAAAATTTAAATTTTAAATTAATTAAATATTATTTTTAAAAAATAATTATATAAATCAATTCAATTAAATATTGTATTTGAAACATTCATTAATTCATGATTTACATTGGTTCGTTTACTAAATATATATAGTTGAATGAAAATTATTCTTGAACTCATTACTAAATAATTTTTTTAATAATAAGAAATTATGATTTGAAAAAAATTAAAATTTTAAAATTTATATCTATTATATGTTAATTTTTAAAAATAATTATATAAATTAATTAAATTATACTTCATATTTTTTTATTAAACAAGTTAGCAAGTTTTATTTATGTAAAGTATGGCATTGAAATTAATTCTATGACCATAAATTTTAGAGTTTAAATCTTGACTACTTATTATATTCTTAGTAAACACGAGTATGTCTGCAATTCTCTATGAGACTCGCTTGAAGGATTGTGTTCTGACCAATTTTTACATTATCGTGCGCTTGTGCCAACTCTCTATTAAATCGCAGCAGCATAAGCGTACGTGAATCACCTTGCTTGCCATATGAACATACGTTGTGTCTCGAACTCCTCCCCGATTTACTTCCAGCATTTCAACATCTAGTACTTGAAAAATATTTGATGGAACAGATGTGTGCGAATGTACAGTTTCCTATCACAACATTAATTTTAGACATGACATGACTTTTTATTTTATTTGAGGATTAGACATGACATGACTTAATTGTATTTGTAAAGAGAAAAATTCGAGCCATGACTTTCAGTACATGTTACGTTTGCGTATAAATTAATTTGTTGAAAGAATATGAAAATTGAAGAAAAAATAGAAAACACTAACAATACGTGATTTTGCACGTAATAGACTGATTAATTAAGGGGTTGCTTCAAGTCATGGGCAGTGTTAATTTGTTAGAATAAAAAAAAAAAACCATTTTACGTGCTTCGTTAGGGCACAGCCTCTCAACAACTAGTTTTGTCATGTAATTATCCAACAAGAATTCGCCAAACAAAAGCCAAATTGTATGACTTTTACACAACAATAGCTTGAGAGTCTGGTTGCTTGCGTCTTCCTGATGGTTCTGTCAAATGATACTCATGTTTACCAAAGAAAAGTTTGACATGCCTTTATCTAAGGAACACAAATTTCTACACATTGATTACTATTAGTTTTTTTTGTAGTTTCTTTTAAGTTGATTAATAATAGTTATTGTTGTTTTGCGGCGGAGATTTTCAGAAGCCAAATGGTTTCATACATATCTACACGATTGAGTGCTGATATAAAATATATATATATATATATATATATATAAATTTAACGATTTCTTTGCTTTTGCTTCAAGTTGTTGATTTTTGAGTTTGCATGCGTTTTCTGTTCTTGACGTACGTAAAAACAATATCTGGAAATTAAGAAATTAAGGGTTTCTTTGTTGTGTGAGAGATGGAAACCATCGAATTGTAATTATCTTTTATAATTGGAACTTTAAAAGTTTAATAAATAAAATTAATGATATGCACGATGCAATGAAAATTTTCTCATCGTGTTCAAGTAATCTTTAAAAAAGAATGATGGATAGAAAGAAACAGTCAAAAAATATATATGAAAATGTTAAACGTAAAATTAAAAAAAAGTACAAATTAGTCAACACATAAGCAGTGGAACACAATACTTCTAATTTGCTGTCGTAGATCAATCACTGCTGATAATTTGTTTATCTGACTTTCAAAGTTTCACACTTTCATGACTTTTTCTAACCAAAAAGCAAGGCTTTTGGGCCTTCGTATCCCAGCCCTTT